CCGTTGGGAACGTGCTGGTCCGCGCGCCTCCCAGGCTAAGCTCAGCTCCGCCCGCTCCCCTCCTGTCCGGTCCCCAATTCTCTCAAACCCGGCTTTCCCGCTGATCTCCGGGAAGATGCTGAGGCAGTTGGGGGACTTGCTCAAGGTGAGGCCGAGCAAGTCGGACTTCCTGCCTTGCCCCACTGGGTGGAACCTCAGGGTACGTGAGCCAATGGGAGCACGTTGCTCCCTCCCCGGCGCAGACGCCAGGGTTCTGTCTCCATCTCCCTGCAAAGGCAGCCTTCGCCTCCAGGCTGGGGTACACGGCTGCCCCTCGAGGGGCGTCTCTGAATTAACACCGCTCGGGGGGCTTGGTCTCCAGGCTCTGAAGGACAGCAAGGTGGTGGAGATTGTGGACCAGAAGATCAGGAGAAAGGAGCAGCCAGAAAAATGGCCTCTCCCTGGCCCCCCCATGGCGGACTACACGCAGACGGACTTCTCTCAGCTCATCAACTGCCCCGAGTTCGTTCCCCGGCAGAGCTTCCAGAAGGAAACAGGTTAGAGGGGCGCGTCGGGGTGCGTGTGTAACTGGGGGGGGGGGGGGTAACTATCGAGTGCCATCACGAATTCATGGCATTAATAGAGGGTGGATGGGTTTTTTTTTGGTAATTTGTCCCATTGAGACCCTGACTCTCCCGGGAAGGGTCCTATTGAAGATGGAGGAGGGGCCAAGCACCTGAGACCTTTTGGGCTGAGACTTCTCAGGGCTGTCTAAACTCAATGGAGAATGAGTGTCCAGATTCCCTGAGTGGCTTTTCAAATCTCCGGCCTTTCCATCTAGACATGACAAACTATGGAGAATACAACATACTGAGCAATCCTGCATTGACAAGAGGGTTCCCTTTAGCAGGCCTTTCCTTGCTACAAGGCCTTTCCCTTCTCTGGACTTGGTGTTTGTTGCTGCGGCAGCTTTCTCTGGGACTTTCCTCCCAGGTTTTTTGAGAATAAGACCCTTGAAGTCGCGCAAGCTCATGCTACTTGCCCTGGGGCCGTCCTTTCCTGCGTGGGTGGGTGGACGCGCAAACACTTGCATACCATGTATAAAACCCTTGTCTGTCCCGAAATGTATCTAGAATCTGCGCCCGGCTCTCCCCGCTCTGCCAGCCCTGTGGCGACTAAGACGGAGGAGGTCAGCAACCTGAAGACGATGCCCAAAGGCCTGTCTGCCAGCTTACCGGACTTGGATTCAGAGACGTGGATTGAAGTGAAGAAGAGGCCTCGGCCTTCCCCAGCCAGACCCAAGGTACTGTGCGGCCTGTGTGGCTCTCCCCCCGTAGCAGGCTGAACTGCAAAATGCCACCGGGTGGGAACGGAGCTGGGCAGCGTCTGGGAACTGGCTGGGTTTTGCTGGCAGTTGTCTCGCCAGCTCTCACAATGAGTCAGGTGCAGGTTTAGTACTGGACTGGCTTCTGGGGCATGACTCCCATGGGTGGCTTCCCTGTTCTCTCTTGCCCCCATCCCGTTCAGCCTTGAGAGCATGGAGTCACTGCCTGATATGAGCCGTTCCTGGCTGAACGTGGGCCGTCAGCTTCGTGTGGCCTAGAGGAAAAAGCAGTGAGCTGAAGGTGGGCCTGGTCTTTCAGCAGCACAGAGCCTGCTGCCTTTAGGACAGCTGGGTCACTCCATGTGCTGTGCTGAGTCAGCACCAGGGTCTTGCTGGACCAGTATTCACTATCAAGGGCAGAAATGTGCAGTTCTCCCTGGCTCCTGACCTGAAAACCCAGTGGGTCTCACGGGGTCTGTTCTCCCAGAGTCCTAGCTGCATCCCCCAGGGCCTCCAGCTCCTCTCCTCCGTTTGCCTTTAGAAAGTGGAGGAGTCGAAGGCGCCGCAGAAACAGAAGGACCAAGACGAGCCTGAGGAGCTGGACTTCCTGTTTGACGAGGAAATGGAGCAGATAGACGGCCGTAAGAACACCTTCACCGACTGGTCGGACGAGGACTCGGACTACGAGATCGACGACAGGGACGTGAACAAGATCCTGATTGTGACGCAGACGCCTCCTTACCTGCGCCGGCACCCCGGGGGGGATCGCACAGGCAATCACACCTCCAGGGCGAAAATGAGCTCTGAGCTAGCCAAGGTCATCAATGACGGGCTGTATTACTATGAGCAGGACCTGTGGACGGAGCAGTTTGAGCCGGAATACTCGCAGATCAAGGTGAGAGCTAGAACCTGTGTCCCAGTGTGCGCCTGAGTGACCCTACCCCGGCTTAGTTAATCCAGTGCGAACCGAACGTGGGACACGCTCTCGCTTCAGTTTGGGTAGCTGGCTTCTTTCACTTGGACTTAAACCTCTTCCTAACCAGCTTCTGCTAAACGAAATAAACCTGGTTCAGACGGAAACAGGCACGACCGTGCTGTCTCTTGCACTGGTTGAAAATCAGTGTGGCTCTGCACAGATGAGCCCTGAGACAGGAGCGGGCGAGGGCATCGCATGGTGCTCATGAAAGGCGTCCAGCCGACAGTGCTGGATCTGGGACTCCTACCCGCCGAACAGGGTCACAGGGAGCGGTATGGCTAGCTTCGGCCCCGAGCATGCCCCGGAGAGCCCTCTCCGGCTCCCTTTCATCCCGCGGTAGCACGACACCTGGGAGGGAAAATGGCTTTAGTTAGAGTGATGGGTGCAGTTGGCCAGGAGCCAGCCAGCCACACCAGTTCCTCGTCCCTTCCTGCCACTTGGACCATATCTCCCCCTTCCTTTCTCGACCTGCAGCAGATCTGTGCTCCTGGCCATCTCCCCCAAAACTGCCTCATTTCCTCCTTGTTTCACCTCTGTTCTCACCGTGTCCCGTCCTCACTCCTTTGGGCTGCTCCCACTGTCTGCTCATGCAGCCTCCTGTACTTGACAGTCCCTGACCTTATCGGCCAATCGCTCTATAAAACTCACTCTTTCCCATCCCCTGTTCTGTCTTCCTCCTCGTGCGCCAGTGGCCTGCACCTTGGAGTCTGTTTCAGGCTTTGTAGAGCATCATATAATCTCTGGTGGTGTGTAAGCCTTTCTAGGGCTTGCCCTCCAGGCGTGCTAGGGGCCTGGCAGCCAGGAACTCTGGGCCGTGGAAACGAGATTGGAAGCAGATGTGACAGTACCGCCTGCAAGCTGCAGCTGGTAAAGTCAGGGTGACATTGCTGAGGGAGAGGCAGCTAGGCCCTGAGAAGGGAGGGACTGAGGAGAGCAAGCTGCAAAGTGCTTCTGCTTCCCTATGAAGTCTGAGGAGCTGACACCTCCCAGCAGGGGAGCAGGGGCGGTACTGTTAGCTGTCAGAGACGCCCCACTCTCGTCTCTCCATGCGGGGGCCAGGTTAGGATCATTCCACCCCAAAAAATTCCTGCGTGGAGGCTGTGCTGTTCAGAAGTCAGGAGGTGCCAGTTTAAAGCATCCCCTTATGCCTATGTGTTGTGGTCGCATTTTTAATTTCAGGATCGTACCGCGTCTCTGGTAATACAATACTGGTTACAGTGCTTTTCAGTGACCCCTCCCCCCCACACGTAGCCCCTGCTCTGTTGCTGGGTCCTTGCTCTGTTTTCATTGCCACAACGACCTGTTGTATCTCCAGAGACTCAGGCTTTTTATAGGTGGTCTCTGTTCTCTCTGAAGTTCCATGTTCTGAGCAGCCGATTCCAAGACTTTCTCTTGAGCCCAACGAGCAGCACAACCGTTCAGGGAGCGAAAGCTAGCTGCTCTGTGAAGGCGGGTAGCCACTACACTAAAGGGGTATGTTTCTCACTCGGGTTAGCTAACTGGGATTAAAATAGCAGGGAAGACCCTGGAACTTGGCTTTTGACTCAAGTCAGACAAAATTAAGTCGCCTTAAGTTAGGTCGCCATACGGCCACCGCAGTAATGACTGCGGTGGTTCATGTCCACACTACGCCCCTCTGGGGCTGCGCATTCTCCCCATTAGCACTTCCACCAACTTAACTGTGGGGGGCACTGACCGCTGGAGCCTCCTTGCCCTGGGGCTCCAGCTGTGATCCCCACGCGGGGCTGACAGCCAACAGGTGATGTAAGCAACGCAGTGTCTACACGGACGCTGCCTCGCCCAAACGACATCCCCCTTAGCAGGACCCCTCTCGCGGAGGTGGAGTTACCAGGTCAGTGTAGTGAGCGACTTACATCGGCGGGAGCAACACTGTAGTGTAGTCACTGATAGAGGTAGGTTGGTGTAAGTTGCTTTATGTCGACCTGACTGTAGTGTAGACCAGGCCGTAGCAATTCAAGTTCAACCCAGGCTCCCCTGTGGGCTTGACTTGGAGTTAAAAGCCAAGGTATCGTGTCTTCGCTGCTGTTTTGACCCAAGTTACCTCACTCGGGATAAGAACACGCTCTCCCCAACCCCCGAGAAGGCCTTAGACTGCAGTGTGTTGTAGAAGAACAGTTTTACTGAGTGCCGTGGACGTCTGTGATGGTTCCCCAGGTATACGCGGAGCCGTGCTTGGTACTACACCGTGACGGGGAAATACAGCTGTCCCGTGGGGGGGCGAATTGAAGCTGAGAATGAGGAGGCGGAAGTGGGCGGGGGTGAGGAGGAGAGGGCCTGAGGGAGATGCTGTTTGGGAAGCCATAGGCCGATTCACATAGTAAGTGGGCAGCGAGTGGTGCGTGGAGGGGGACACCTGGGTGCCTGCTTGGGAGCACTCAGAGCTTGTGTAAGTACCTCAGAGAGGAGAGGGGCTGGGGGGGGCGTGAAGAAGGCGCTGGAGGCCTGGGGGAGGCTGGTCCCTGAATGACCTTGGAGCCCAAGGGAGCTGTAAGACGTTCTAGAGGTGACGGAAGTTGGTGAGTGTGAAAGGAGGAGGGGGGGGGGGTGATGCCAGTGTCTTCTAGTGCTTTCATGTACTTATCCTCACATCACCCCCGAGAGGGTAGGGAAGTGTTGGTATGGTCCCCATTGCACTGAGGCACAGAGAGGCTTAAGTGCCTTGCTCAAGGTCACCAGGAAGTGTCCGGAGCTGGGAATCAAATCTTGGGTCTCCCACGGCCTAGGCTTGTGCCCTGACACCAGGCCGTTGTTCCTAGAGATGAGCATGGCGCTGCTCTGGAAGAGCTCCAGGTTGGATTGAGAGTTGGGCTGGCTAATAGCAATGAGACAGTGACGGCCCCATCCCTGCAGGACATTGTCATGGGAGGGTTTCCCTTTCCTGTCCCCAGAAAAACATAACTGGGACAGCAGAAGTGCCGGAGATGCGCTAGCGGAGGGTGAGGGGTGCACGGGGCAGCACAAATGGCTCGTGTAGGGGAGAGAATGGAAGGGTTCACTCGTCCTGTCCATGGTGCAGAGGGGTGAGCCATGCCCCTCGGTGCTGGGAGCTGCCACTAGCACGAAGGGGTGGGGCCCCCTTTAAAAGCAGGTCATGGACTGAGTCTGATTCCCTCTCCCAGTCTAAACGGGAAGGCGCTGCAGTAGTTACCCACAGGGAGAAGGCATGTCCAGGCTGTGCTGGCAGTGGGAGGGAACAGCTTGATTTGAGGTGAGCCACAGATGAAGTGTCCGCTCAGGGCCAGCGTGGAACCCCAGAGGAGGCGCTCGGCTGAAGCGGGATGAACCGTCCTGTCGCGGGCAGGGCAGTTGGTCTGGCTACTCATCCTCTTTATCTCTAAATGCAGCAAGAAGTTGAGAACTTCAAGAAGGTGAATATGATTAGCCGGGAGCAGTTCGATACTCTGACCCCGGAGCCCCCTGTCGATCCAAACCAGGAAGTCCCCCCTGGACCTCCCCGATTCCAGCAAGGTAAGAGAGGCGGTATGAAGGACCTATTTGTGTAGCTTACTTCTGGCCCTGGAGAATAAAGCTGTCTGTTCCTGCTCCAGGAGAGATGGGGCCGGCTGGGCCGGCTTTAGGAACTGCGGGGCCCGATTCGAATACCCGGCGGCGGTCTGGGTCTTCGGCGCGGGGTCCTTCACTCGCTCCGGGTCTTCTGCGGCACTGAAGGACCCCCCACTGCCGAAGACCCAGACCGCCACCGGGTGAGTAAAAAATATGAAAAAGGCGCCTAAGGCACGGGGCCCGATTCCAGGGAATTGGCCTAAAGCCGGCCCTGGGTGCCGGTGGCATTGTGCTGCCATTAGCACGTTTGCCGAATGAGCCTTACCTGATGCCCCTAAGTGATGGGAAGTGTTCCCATAGCTGGAGCCTGATCTGCCTGGGGAGAGCTGGGTGTCTTTGACCTGGCAGCTGTCCCTGGGGGGAGCTCCTGGAGTGACTCTGTTGAGCAGGGTGTCTTGGTGCTGTGGGTAATGAGCTGGACCCATCCCCTGCCGGCCGTGCAACTGGAGCACCTGGAACGGTGGCCTCGGTCATGCTGTGGCTGGCATGCTGCCGAGCCGGGGATCGGGATAAGGGCGCAGTGTAGTGCTCCAGGGACCCCACCAGGGGGAGGTGTGGCGGGGGAGGGAGGGTGCTTGCCAACCGTCCTGCTCGGGGCCCTCTGAACCAGAGGGGCCACTGCCCCATCGTCCCGCACTGGTCGTCCCACCCGTCACGTCTGCAGCGCAAGGCGATGAAATCGGGAGTGTCCTAGATCACCTCCCAGCAAGCTGCCTGCGACCCGGCGTGGAGCTCAGTGCCCCGGGTCCCTCCACGGTTACCAGCCGCCCAACTCCTCAGGCTGGAGCTGCTCAAGCACTGCTGCTCCCTCAACCAGGAGCAATGTGTCCCCTCCCCTCCGGCTCCATTGGGACAGAGGCGGCGCATGCTGCCGAGAATCCCTCCAGGAGTCTACCCATAGAGGCGTGGCCTAGCGCGCCTCCTCCCATCTAGCCGCGCAGCTCGCCCAGAGCGGAGCAGCTCGGGGTTCCGGGAGAGCGGGGAGCTCAAACTCAGGGGTCTCCCAGGCGGTGCAGGAGACTCTAACAGGTCTCGCCTGTGGGTCATGCTGCCAGGTGACATCTCTTGCTCCGAGGGAGGTGATTTGCGCAGTCAGACCTACTGGCTGTATCTTTCTTAGGAATGAAATGAAGGAATCTGTGTGTGGGACCAGGTTGGTGGTGCAGCTGGTTCAGTGTCCTGGCCGGGGAAGGGGTAGATGGGGGTCTCCTGGGTGGGTGGGTGGGTAGGTAGGTAGATGGGGCACTCACTTGGAAGGGGGTTCTCCCTGGTCCCAGCTGGTGAGACGCTGCTCTGCAGCAGGAGATGGACAGAACCATAGAGCCCTAGTCCCATAACTGCGGGTGCTCTTCTTAGCCCCACGTGGTTCTTCCCAGCTTTCCACCCGAGGCGGCTGCAGCTTGGTCGTAGCGGCCTCGTCCCTGGCGCTTGGTGTTGTTTTTCTGGAGGCGTTCGGTGAAAGGTCAGAACTGCAGGTTGCTCCTCCAGGCGCAGGGGATAGCAGCTTGCGTGTCTGGTCCATCTCCTGAACAGGCTTCGGAGGGAGAGATCTCTGCTACGCGGTTCCAAGTACAACCAGTGAGCTGGTTTCTGGGGGCTGTTCCCATCCCCCTCTCCTTCCTGCAGTTCCTACCGACGCTTTGGCCAATAAGCTATTCGGAGTCCCGGAGCCTTCAACCATCGCCCGATCTCTGCCAACCACTGTGCCAGAATCGCCCAACTATCGCAACGCCAGGACCCCCCGGACCCCTCGCACACCTCAGCTGAAAGACCCAACGCAGACGCCCCGGTTCTACCCAGTGGTGAAGGAGGGCAGGACGATAGATGCCAAGGTGAGATGTCCTGGGGGGCTCAGGCTGTGTGTGCGGGTGACGGTGCTTTCAGCTACCCAGGAGGGGTTTGGGACTCCTGCTTCCTGTCTGGGGTGGCCGCAGGAGTGGGGGGGGGAGGGAGAAGGGGTCAAACCAGGAGAAAAGACACTTACGCCGTTGTCTCTTGCAGACCCCCCGGAAGAGGAAGACGCGGCACAGTTCGAACCCCCCCATGGAATGCCATGTGGGCTGGGTGATGGATTCCCGGGAGCACAGGCCTCGCACTGCCTCCATCAGGTATTCAGAAGGGCAGAGGAGGATGGGAAGGGGCCAGAGACAGACACGTAGCGCTGACGACCAAGGAGCTGTCTGCCCCTCGTGCAGCCCCAGCACCCTCTGGCCCGAGAAGCATGGCGGTCAGCCGGGTTAGAGGGCTCTTCCCTCTATAGCCCGCTCGTCCAGCGGAGCTGCCTCTTGCAGGAGGGTTGGTGACGGGATTGGGGCTCCATTAGAAGGGAAGGAAGAGAACTGTCCCCTGTCTGTGTGACACAGACAGCAGAGTAGCTAAACGCATGTGAGAAGCTAAACCAAAGGGGGTTTGATTGGTGTGTCTTGTGCTCAGCTCCAGCCCCTCGGAAGGAACCCCTGCCGTCGGGAGCTACGGCTGCACCCCTCAGTCGTTGCCCAAGTTCCAGCATCCTTCCCACGAGCTGCTCAAGGAGAACGGCTTCACGCAACATGTGTATCACAAGTACCGTCGGCGCTGCCTTAATGGTGGGTTGGGGGAGGCCCCGCAGAGCTCGCACCTGGGCTGCCGGAGCTCTCGCTCTGTCTAGCAGAGGGTGGGGGTACCCTCTCTGCAGCCCCACACCTTAGCTACACAGGTCACGGGTGAGCATATCGTCCTGCTGCTGTGCTCTCTGCACTGGCACAATAGACTCTGCTACTGCCTAAGCCAGGGCAGGGACATGGAACGGACAAGCCAAACATAACCCTCCTTGACCCTGCATTGTAAACTAAGGGGGGCTCTGGGTTACCGGTAGCTAGCATCCCGTCTCCATGCACGCAGAGAGAACTGACTTTGTGGAACTTACACCAACTGGCAGCACAGTCAACCTGTGGAACTCCTTGCCAGGGGATATTGTGAAGGCCAAAACTATAACCAGGTTCCAAAAAGAACTAGATAAGTTAATGGAGGATCGGTCCATCAATGGCTACTAGCCAGGATGGGCAGGGATGGTGTCCCTAGCCGCTGTTTGCCAGAAGCTGGGAATGGGTGACGGGATAGATTGCTTGATTACTTGTTCTGTTCATTCCCTCTGGGGCACCTGTCATTGGCCACTGTCGGAAGACAAGAAACTGGGCTAAAAGTTCCGTTGGTCTGACCCAGTATGGCCATTCTTAAGTGGGGGATTACGTTTAGGGCTAGATGCCCTTGTAAGCTTATCCAGGGCATCTTACCACCTTATCCATATGCCCCTGATCCTGAACACGCTCTCCAAGGCAGGGGTATTCTACCCGTTGGAACCCAAAGTAATTGCCTTCCTTCTCCCCCAAACAGAGCGGAAACGACTGGGCATCGGTCAGTCCCAGGAGATGAACACGCTCTTCCGGTTCTGGTCGTTTTTCCTCCGAGATCACTTTAACAAGAAAATGTACGAGGAATTCAAGCAGCTGGCACTGGAAGATGGGAAGGAGGGATACAGGTAGGGCAGTGGCCGATGTGGGTATGGGCACCTGTGCTGTGAGTTGGGATGGGAGGCTGCATTCACTTTAAGGGGTGAGAGGGCACGAGTGGGGTGGGCCCATCCTGGGGTTGGGGAGTAAACGTCGGCTGGTCTTAGAACAGAGAGAGCGGGTGTGACGTTGGGGAAGGAACGGGGGAAACGCTCACGCGCCACCTCACGCAGAAGCAAGGTATTAGCTGTGGTGTGTCCCTCGGGAGTGTTCCCAGCCCTGAGAGATGGCGTCATTCCCTGTTGACACTGGGCTGGGTCCAGGAGCCCTGCTCTGACTTAGGCTTCTCACACGAGCTGCTGGTTCTGCAGGTACGGCCTGGAGTGCCTTTTCAGATACTACAGCTACGGGCTGGAGAAGAAATTCCGACCGGACATATTTAAGGATTTCCAAGAAGAAACCATCAAGGATTATGAAGCTGGTAGGTGGTTCCTTCAGCCGCTCCTTGAATCTTATCATCCAGCCCTGCTCTCTGTGACTGGCTGCCCAGGGGCTTCCTCTGGGAAGTCCGGCCATGCTCCGGGTTTACTGTGGTAATGGCGACAGCTGTGACCGTCCAAGGGCTGTGCGGAGTAGAGCACATTGGGCCCGGAGTCACTGAGGGTTCTGGCTGTTCGGGACACAGAGGTGGCTGAGGGGCCTGGCGCTGGTAAGGTTGATGGAAATAGGCCATAGTAGATGTTCTCCAGATTCACTCTTCTTGTGGGACCAGGTCCTTCAGGGTTTCTCTTGAGGGCTTGCAGTGACCCAACCCGCCGACTGAACAGGACAGCCTGCACCCAGAGCTAGTCACCCAGTAGTGAGAGGGATCCTCTCCTCTCCCATGGTTCAGCCATGCCGGCTTTGCTGTGCTCAGAGCCCCTGCTGGCCTAGGGAGTGACAGGCCAAGGTGGCCTCCGTGTGTGGAAAGCAGGCAGCACCTCCTCTGCGACTTCATGTCAAGAGACACTCTTGGTGCCACGCGGTCGCCGCACCAGGCCCAAAGGGTCTATTGAGGAGTCTCCGCACCCAATGGGGTGGTGCCACGTGGTTACAGGCAATCCCCTGCATGTCCTTGGCGGAAGTCCAGGGTATCCGTGAGCCTGTGAGAGGCCCATTCGCATAGTGTCCGTGTTTGGCCGGGGCGGGTGGAGAGAGCTCGTTAGGCTCTGGGGGGCCCTTCGTGGACAGCTCTTGACGTCTGTAGCTTTGTGTCTCGTAACAGGGCAGCTCTATGGGCTGGAAAAGTTTTGGGCCTACTTAAAATATTCCAAAGCCAAAAATCTGGACATCGATCGCAAGCTGCAAGAATACCTCAGCAAGTTCAGGCGCCTCGAGGACTTCCGAGTGGACGTGAGTAGGCGCTGCAGCGGATCTCACACACACTCGCTTTCACTCACTCTCACTCCCCATCCGTGACCACGTCCCCCAGAGCAGGGGCAGTGGGTGGAAATTCAGTCAGCATCAGGGCCAGGTTTAGCTCAGCAGTGACCCCTAGTGTCGTGTTCAGGCCATTGCAGCTGGGTGGGGGAATACAGACATTCCCCTTGGTTTCTGTGTCGAAGGGCCCCCTGAATACAGGGCTGTTTCTTGGCTACTCGGTCTCCATGGGAATAATATTAAACTTTGTTTTGCTTCCCCGGCTCTGAACAGCTGTGAAGTGCTTCCCTGCTGGAGAGAAGCATGGGCCTGGCTTTGATCCCATGTGCTCTTTTGTAGCCGGGCTGCATGGGGGAGGCCGGGGGACGCTCCCCCACACGCCGTGACTGGGTTACGGTGAGGTGGCATTTTCACCCTAGATCTCTGACAATGAGTCAGTGACTTTAGGAGCAGCTGAGCTTGAGCGCAGTCTGATACAGTGACAGTCGAGGGGCCAGCAGCACAGGCATGTGAAGCGTCCCGGGCAGGAGATAGGAGAGAGAATTTCAGAATTTGAAATAAAGGGGGGGCTGGGCAGGAGGCTGCCGCACGGATAGTGTGTGGGTGTTAGAGGTGGGGCAGGACAGAACAGCCAGCCTTAGATAAGGGAAGAGAGGGGCCTGCCTGGTATGGCGGAGCTAGGAAAGCTAACCCTGCCCCGCTGGCAGGTTACTCAGCGCTCGGGGGTTAGCACAGGCCTCTCCGATAGATCAGTTACCCTTCTGTACCTGCCCAGAGCTCCTGAGGGTTCCACCTCCGAGAAACAAGGGACCACTAGGTTTGCATATTGGGAGCCAGGTTAAGCCCGTTTGTACAAACATTTACTCTATTAACCCCCCTGTCCCCAGGGAGACAGGTAAGTATTTTTCCTCCCCATTGTGTCCGCGATTAAAACACCGCACCAAGTTAGCTGGCTTGCTTGGTGGAGCCAGGTTTGGTAGTCCGAGCTGGTTCCCTGGACCGCTGAACTGTACTCTGCTGAGAGAGGCTGGGCAGAGAGGGGGAACCTTCGCCGGAGGCCCCTATGGCTTCCCTGCATGCGCTTAGGGGATGAATCTGGGCGGTGGCGGGTTGGAACAGTCAGCGAATGTAGGGCAGGCCGCATCCCAGTGGGACTCCGTGTGGGGAAGCGCGAATGATTTGCTCGCTGTCATGACTCAGCAGGAAGCAAAAGCAGCTCGAGCTCCTGCCTCCTGGGGACAGGAATCAGGATTATAACAAGAAGGGGAGAGCGAAAACTTCCCCCGGCCAAGGATCTGCCTGGGCCTGAAGCCAGTTTGCCCCACAAGAATTCTTCCCTCTGGCTCCCTAATGCAGCCGGAGTGCAGCCCTCCCCCTGAGCACCTGCGTGAGTGGATGGGGAGGCTGGGCTAAGGTTAGCCTCCCCACCCCCCTTGTTCCCTGGGATCCAGGGAGGGGCTCTTGCAACCGTAGATGGGGCTTCCCAGGTGACGACAGGTGCAGAACACGGATGCGAGGGGGCGGTGGAGGTTAGACCGTGGGCATGGGGGTGACTTGCTTTGAGATGGCTGCTCTGATGCCAGGGACGTTTCTCTTTCAGCCACCCATGGGAGAGGAAGGTGGTCACAAGCGATTCCCGTCCATGTCAGGAGGAGATGGAAGGAAGCGCTACCCCTCCCAGTCTTCCAGCAAACCGGTCAGCCAGTCCCCATCCAGCCAAGCCCATGCCTCGTCCAGCCAGCCTGCGAGAGAGGATGCCAAAAACCTGAGCCACCATGCCCTTGCCACAGCGGCTGTGGCATCTCAAACACTGGGGAAGTAGAGAAGCTGGAGCTTCTGCTTCCTATGGGGGAAGGGGTGGGTTGGTGGGGAGTTGGACTGGGGGAGGGGAGAAGTGCGGTGGGGAGGGACAGAGGGGGAGTCGGAACGTGGGTGTCCAAGAATAGGCTGCTGGGGGAAACTTCAACGCACACGACCTCTCTTGTGGCGGGAAAACAAGACGATCGCAATCCAAAAAGGATCCTTTGCTTGCTGTCTGTCACTGACTGGAGCTGGACCCCCTCCGCCCCCACTTTCATGTCTTAGCTTCTTTCTGGGTGGGTTGGGAAGGGGGAGATATTTTTTTTATTATATATATATATATCAAGTTTTAAATTATTGATAGAAGTTCGTCTGGATTTACCAAAATCACTCTGCGCTACGCAGCCCCTCTCCCCTCCTCTCCCACCCCCCCTCCCTCCGGACACGCACCCCTTCAGATCAGCTATGCAGCCTGCTCGGAAAGCTACGAGGTTCCGTGTCGAGTCGGCCTGTGGCACCCCGACGTCCCTGACCCGGCTGACTTCACCCATTCCGAATACAAGGATGCGTTTTAAAAACACAAACCCAACCGATACAAAAAGACTTGATTGTATTTGCCCCTCCACCTGCCAGCTCCATTTCCCTCCACCCAACTCACCCTTCCATCATGGACAATTGGAAGTCAACCAAAGGACCTTGACCAGGCATCGCAATGGGCTCATTCAACCTTTCTGTGCGAGGACAGCGAGGATGGGATCTGCAGGCTCGTGCAGGAACGCTGACCGCACTAGAAGGAGCTTTCTCTTCCTCTCCCTTTGAAAACCACAAAAAAAAACAAAAACACCCTCTACACAGACTGCTCTCCCTTGGCTTTCTTCCTTGAAAATAATTGTTTAAAAAAAAAAGAAAAAAAATGTTGCCTTATTGTGGAGTGGGAGTTCTGTGACCCGCCTGACTTCCTCATGTGGCCTCGGGGCGTGGCGTCTGCGTGGGACGAGAGCCCTCGGCCAAGCAGTGGGAGCCCCTCCGTAACCTCCTCCCTTTGGGAGACTCCTGCAGGGAACGGCTGGCGATCTCCCGGGCGACCCGGTTGCATTGACACAGACACCGGAACTGCTTTCTGCAGCCGAGAGGGACGTTGTACAGACTACGCCGGACGATCCCCCCCTTTCCTTGGAGGTGGGCTGTAGGGCCCACTCCGGAGAGGAAGCGGTGCTGACGCAGCTTAATCTAAGACTTAATAGCCGAAGTAGTTGAAGCCGATGTAATGTATATACTGTTGTAGTGTCCTTCCTGCTACAGCAACTGTCCGTGCTATTTGCCTCACTCAGACTTACAGGTGCACTGTCATTTTCTCTCCTCTTCCACCAGTCCAACAAGCAGGGGCAGCGCTGGTGGGGTTATCGGTCTGCTGGGAGGGTAGGAGCCTAGCAGGGAAGGGGACAGCCCCAGTGGCTGGATTTCTCACTGCTAAGGGGGGGCGTGGAGCCGAGAGAAACGTGAATGTCCCGGAGCACGTTAATGCTACGGCCCAGCAGCTGAGGAAAGCGGATACCAAGAAACCCATCTTGGACCAGTGCTGATCCAGGGGGCTGGCTGGGTGGGGATGGTCTCAATTCAGACGGCTGCCTGCGAAATGTGGTCACAGTGCGGGTTTCCCTGTTACAGATGGGTGCATTCAGTCCTCCTCTTTCCCCCGTTAGGGTGCATGGCAGGCACCACACTGCAATGGTTGCGGAGCCCTGGGTTTTGCTCGCCCGACCACAGCACCACTCGGCGGTGCAGCATGAGACGGCTTCGGGGAGCATGTGCGTTCGGACTCTCCAAAACACAAGCGCGCCTGGTGGGATTTGGCCGGGGTGGGGAGCAGACGGGGCTGAGATGGCGCGGAAGGAAGTTGTAGCTCGCAAGGCGACCTGTGTCCTGGCAACGAGGCAGTGCGGAATTCAGGCTGGAAGGTGGAGGTAAATTCCCTGGGAGGGGAAGGGGTACTTCCCTTGCTGGTAATAGACTCTGCCTCCATGTGCTCACGCATGTGCTTTGCCTGGTTCTGGGCTGTATCTCCTGTGTGTTGGCCTAAGGCCTTGCTCGATGGGTATCGAAAAGAATGTCTGCAGATGCTGCTACCTTGGCCTGCTGCTGTCTGGGCAGCGTAGGACCCCCCTCCCCTCTTCCCACCCCCCCACCGCTCACTGCTGCCCCATCAGCTTTTAGTGCAATGGCATGTCCCCTCTGAGCATCCCACTGATTTAGGGCTGCCTCACGTACTAGGCACCGCTCCTGGCAAGGGGGGTGTCTCTAGGGCTTGCATGCTGCTTAGTAGCTGGGAACCCTGCCCTGTACCGACAGGAAGCCCAGCAGTGCTGCGGGGTTGGAGCGCAGCAGTTCAGAGCAAAGCTGGGTGGGTCAGCCAGAGTTCGTCGCCGTTGGGTATCAGCATTGCCAGAGGTGGGTAGCGAGAGGTCCATGTGCTGCTAATGTGCCCTGTCCAGTGAAAGCAACCCGCTTCTCAGAGTTACACTGCATAAAACAGGCTGCTGGGGGAGGAGGGGGCAGAGATGCTGGTTGTTTCAGAGCAGCGTTGGGTGACCCTACAGCCGAGCTGCTGTCAGTAGCTTAGAGCCCAGCCAAGGGAACCGAGTGGCTGGTACTCGATGTTCCCTCAGATCAAGATCCTGGTATATTGCGCAGCTAAAGGCCGCTAATGATTTAAACACACAGGCCTCCCCCGAGTCCTTGCCTTATTCTGCTGTGTTTGGGATTGCACAGAGTGCCCGGTTGGCCATGAGAGTCCCAACACGCAGGGGCAGCGCGATCGCGTGTCAGCCCTGATTTTCAGCCTTGACTTTGAATTTCCCTAGTTTTGTGAGCTGGAGCCAGACCCTCCCTCTGGCAGGCGTGTTGGGATTTAGATGGGAGTGGTAGGGAAGAGCTGGGAGGATATTGAGCAGTGACTGCGGAGACACAGCTGTCTGTTACTGGGGGGCATGGTCTCTTTGTTACCCATTGAACTCAAACCAGAAATTAGGAAAAGTGGTCTCGCCTTGAGGAGTGGTTGCTTGTGAAATCAACAGGCTAAAGGAGCCATTGGATGGCAGAAGTGCCCAGGAACGTTCCAGAGAACTTCAGAGATCCAAACTGATTTTCTGTTCAGTCTTTTTGTTTGTGCGACACCCTCTCCAATTTCAGCCCAGAGCAGTTTGTTTCCCATTTTAGTCAGTGGTTTGTCATTTGTCGTCCGTGTGACCGGGGCCTGTCTAGAAAGTCTTCTCTGCAGGAGAAGCTTGCCCAGAAGAGAGATCCCAGCAGTTGTGCCACAGCCCAGGATTGACATGCCGTTGAATTGTAGCAGATTACAATAGGGTCAAGTGGGAGCTGTGTTGGCACGTTGCTGTGTGAGGCAGGCCCAGATACCTGGGGGAGGGAGAGGAGACGTGGAAATGAACCCGAGAGAGGCATTGCATCCTGCGTATGGTCCTGCAACAAGGTCCTGTTTCACCCTCTGCTCTAGAGGGAGAGGAGACTTGCTGTTTGGTGCCTGCAGTGTACGATGTAGGCCACGTTCCAAAGAGGGGAGGACAATCTAGCGTTGGGTGGCACCAGGAGTACAAGTCTCCAGCACCATTGCTCAGACGAGGGCTGACCCCATAGGGTTCTAGCCTGTCTTCACAGGCACAGAGCCCCACAGCCTGCTTAGTGGGTACCAGGGCTGAGGGGTGACTGAATGCTAGGATTGACCTCAGAGAGGTCTGCCATGCCTCATGGTGCACATGGGACGAGTCTCTGGACGCACCTTCCCAAAACTAAGTGAGACCCACCTCTGCTACGTAGAATATATAGCAAGAGGATTGTATGTGGCCGAACACACCTCCACGGCGGGGAAGTGGCTGTTGAAATACCTTTCCCTTCTAGAGAAGAGCAGATGGTCTGACATTTGCATTGGCCTGATTTCCTCCCCCCTCCCCCCACCACCACCACCACTTTCCCGGGAGGAACTTGATCTCCGTTCTAGTCAGGGATGGTCCATCTTGGCCATCCCACCTCCTTTAAAAAAAGAAAAAAAAAGTTCTCCCACGTGCTCATCGGTTCTGTAGCTTGCGGTTGTCATGTCTGCTGTGGGGGGAGTCTGAGGCAGCTGTTAATGCAAAGCCAAGTCTGCCCTACGACCCCCAAGTGGGGGTGCAGTTGGCCTTGCCATTTCAGGTGGAAGTGTCTGTTAAATCCTGTGCATCCCCTGCACGTTGGATGTCCATCTTGCAGGCAGGTAGCTGTGGCAGGATCCAAAACACTGTGGTTCAGGGTTTGCACAGAGGTGGGGTTGTTTGGGGTTTTTTAAAGGAAAACTTGTCTAGGTGCTGCTGCTTTGTCTGCTCCTCGTGGCTCGTTTCCCCCTCCCGGTGGTTATCTGTAATTGTTGGATTCTGTCCAGGTTCTGTATTCACTCACTCTGCTTCTGATTGGTTGACTGTACTGTAACAAATGACATATTAACCTCAATACTCTGCCATACTTCTGTGCACGTACAATACAACAATGCAGAGGGGAGCCTTTTAGCTGGTAATGCCTTTCTGATCTCTCTTGTTTTATTAAGCAAAAACACACACACAAATCTGTCAATGTAGCAAATTGTTTGCAATGCTCTGTATCCTGTATGTGTTTCTTCTCCGAGACTTTGGGTCGTCCGCTCGCTTTCTTTTGGAATCAACGTTAGGCTCTTACTAAGGAGAGGGTTGCTACACTTGATGTTAAATGCCTCACTGACTTTTTAGTTTTAATTTCCAAGTCCTATAATAATTGAGGAGAGTGTTTGTTTGTTTTTTTGGAAAACAGTTTCATCTCTGATGTGGATTGGGTGGAGTGACTTTAAAAAAAAAAATTCTAGGGTTAACGTTTCAAAGAATCGTTTACATCTTCACTTTCTGAAGACACTTGAACATAGGACCGACGTATCTGTGACGAGCACACCCTGTTGTTGGAAGCTCTCTGAGCGGGAAAGGGCATGGGCTTAAACCTATCCATTTTGGTTTTTATAGACACTTACATCTGATTTTTGACATGAATTTCAACTAACACCCCAATCCCTCCTCTTTATTCCTCAGTGGTACATTCCCGCTTCTCATCACCTCCAGAATATCAGTTGTGTACAATAGGTTGGCTTGTACCAATGATATCCCTGGGAGAGGGGGGCTTGGTATCGTTTCATCCATTGGAGTCTTCCTGGCATAGTGTGTGCCTGTGGGAAAGGATGGCCGAACTCTCCTCCCTTTCCAGCCCCAGCCTCAGTTGGTCCCTGTGGCATGTACTTTCACCCAGCCCATGGAACTCCGACTCGGAAATTGACACCGAGCTTTAACTGGAAGTGGTTGGAGCAGGGAGGGTTTTCCAGTGTCCGGTCTCACTCTGAACTGCTCAAAGCTGTGTGGATAACCTGCTTTTCAATAAAGAGCCAGTGTTTTTGTCTAGATGCCCAATTACTCAGCCAGAACAAAAGGGGATATTAGTTTGATCTGGCTGCCCTTCCCAACCAGGCTCTGTCTGTCCCAACCTCATCCCCTCTACTCCCAAAAACAAAAGAGGAAAAAGTTTTGCAACCTTCTTCAGCTACGTTTTATTGTAGAGACAAATTTAAAATGACTTATCAGACCACTCATCACGGGGGAGGAAAATCTTGTTAATACGACCCACTCTGTGATCCATCTTCTGTTGATAGTACATAATGACTCGTGTGCTAGGATCATCATCCCATTTAAAAGGAAAAGAAAAACCACAACAACAAAAAATGTAAAATACTTGAACGAGAGCTTGTATTATAACATTAATATTATTCAGAGTATCTGCTTTCTAGGCTGATGTGATTCATTATTCTAGTAATGCTTTAGTCCTTTGTAATTTGTGGTAATTATGCTTTTTCCTTTTTAATACAAAAAAATGTATAAAAATAAAAACCTCAAAAGACAGTGTGGTATGGACTCTCCTGTCCCTGCAACCTTCCTTACTCTCTTCTCGGTCGTGCTCTGGGGTCTAAGGGTCTGAGCGACAGATGAGACACGTCTCCTGTGGAATGAATACTCGTGAAGGTGAGAGACTGATGGCACCTGATCAGTACACTGCCGCTAGGCACTATACAAGCTCTCAGCAGAAGAGCTCTTGTAGGACTACTTAGTCTCAATCCAGTGCACTCTTCCCTTGCTCGTTCCAGCCCCGGGCCCCCATACCGCTCTGCTAACACATCTCAGTCCTGACTTTCAGCACTCGCAGCTCTCGGTGCACCATGTGATACTTTCAGTTGTGTCTAATTGGGTAGTGGTTTTCTGACTGGGAGACCATTTTCTTTAAGGGTTTTGCAGCACTCCCTACTAAACAGCTCAGGAGAACAGTGGTGGTGGTGAGCTCTTCCATCGCGTATAACTTTATGCAATCCTAGGGGTTTCCCTCTGTCTGCTTTGCTGTGTTGGAAGTGAGGTGAGTCTTGGTGGGATGGAGCGGTCCGCCCATACTGGCTGTGCTAATGAGACTTCCACTCCAGAGCCTCCCTCCTGGAAAGTTCCCTTAGTGACTTGCATTTTGGTTTCACCTGCCATATTATTTGTTAAAACAATAAAACCTACTCACTGCTCCCAGTAATGTAGCACGGTACCGTGTGGGGGTAGCTTCTGCCTGACCCTCACTGGTGATCAGTGATGGTTTAAAGCTTGAAGCCCTTATGTCATAGATATGGGGAATTGTACTGTGGGAAGTTGAGCTCTCAGGGCTGATGGTGCTGGCAAAGTGGTTACGAAGGGCCACTTGGCCTCAACAAGCATGTTTCCATGGGGTGTTCAGGTTGCTTATCCCAGGCCCAGAGCGCCGGGATGAGATTGGGCCAGGCTGAATGTCTGGAGTGCAGTGTTCTTGAATTCCTCTGCAACTCCCCATGCAGTGCAGGTGAGATGTCCTGGGCCCCAAAGCCTCCAGCAGGAAATGGAGATCTAAACAGCAGCCAATTCTGTGGGCTGGAAGGGAACCTGCGTGGGGCAGTCTGTGGGCAGCTTGATCCAGGGGACTAAAAACCCTATGCTCACTTGAGGAGACCCCCCAGCTGTAGGGCTGCTGCTAGGAGCTCAGCTTTGCGCTCTGGGCTGGTGGGGGCCAAAGGGAAGCGAGTGCAAATCTCCCCGGCAACGGGTTACAGTTCCACTTTGTCTTTGATACTTAGGATGAACAATAACCTGCTTCTCATTAGAAAATTATTTGGCATAATCATCGTTCCAAGCTCTCGTGAGTCCCCATGTTGTGAGTGTGCCGCAAGCCGCGGGGAAGGTGGGGTCACTTGGCTTTCTTGGGCGAGTCGGGAATGGTCTCCGTGAGAGGGGTGAGGCTCATCAGGATGACATGCCTCTCGTAGGCCTTGGTTTGCTTGAAGAGCGTGTCCGTTCCGTGCAGGCGGTCCAGCACCCCCAGGACTCCGTAGCACTGATTGAACCTGGCAACCAAGCAGAAAGGGACCACGCAGGGTACTGGGGGTTACAGGTGAGAAACAAGGTAGGCCATGCAGATCTCTTCCCTTTCACCCCCTCCCATAGCCTGTGTCCCTATCAGAGCCCTGCCAATCCTGCTTTACTTTTTGTCTCTCCCAGCCTTTGCTTTGCAGCCTGCACGGGACTGGATGGGGTTTAGCCCAGAACCTGCCCGTCTTGCTACATAATCATCTAGGAGAGGTGTTGAGCCAGGGGGTGTTCTCCATCCCCAGGCACCGCGGGCTGCCTTTGCAGCCATCACCAGCCAGGGAGCGGGAGAGTGCAACTCTACGCCGGAGAGCCACAACTCCAAGGCACATGAGCGCCTGAGGTCGCAGGAAGACCAGACGGGCTGTACACACCCCTATGGCCAAGGAAGTTATGAGCTGGCCCTACAGCATTGCTCAGCCCCATAGGTTCTGATGTCCCCGGTGATCTGTGCTCCTGGCATACAGCATGATCAGTGCCGTGGAGAGGTGGGGGGTGATACGCACTCGCTGATACATCAAGTATCACCCCGTCCTTTGGCCGGAACTGAACTGCCGTCCCCGTTTCTGCAGGAAAGGGGAAGCGATGCTAGCCGGGGAGTATGGTCAGGGAACAGAGCACAGCCCTGGGAACCAGGACCTCCCTTGGAACTCTACCTGCAGGCCTGACACGGCTTTGCTGCGCTACCTTTGCAAAAAGGTGCTAGTACTTCACCTTCGCTGGGGGGGTTTAACGATCACGTGTGCGCACAGCACTTTGACTAGGCGAAGCCTGGTTCCTGCTGTATCAGGCTTTTCAGCTGTGGGATTATCTGGTTTTTCCATTGCTGTCTTGGGCCAGAAAAGGAATTAAGTGGCCAGAAAGATGCTCCACAAAGCATTGTCCTTGATGCCCTAGCCCAGGGGTTGGCAACCTTTCAGAAGTGGTGTGCCGAGTCTTCATTTATTCACTCTCATTTAAGGTTTCGCGTGCCAGTCATACATTGTAACGTTTTTAGAAGCTCTCTCTATAAGTCTATAATATAGAACTAAACTAATGTTGTATGTAAAGTAAATAAGGTTTTTTAAATGTTTAAGAAGCTTCATTTAAAAGGAAATTGAAATGCAGAGCCCCCCGGACCGGTGGCCAGGACCTGGGCAGTGTGAGTGCCGTGGAAAATCAGCGCGTGTGCCGCCTTCGGTGCCATGGGCTGCCTACCCCTGCCCTAGATCACTGCTAGGAAAGCCCAGGCTATGCCTGCTTCTCTAGAACCTACACATTATTTTCTCTGTCTAATCCACCCAAGAAACCTGAGCTCAGATTCAGCCTTTGGTTTTCTGCTTTGTAGCCGGTTTTCCAGCTCAGCTGACCGCGAAACGGAAAGGAAAAGGTCAGTCATTTGTCTGAGGGTTGCAGGGTGCGTCAGTGGCTGAGCTGAAGTAAGGAAGCAGGAACTGCCTGAGGCCTGGTCCTCTGCTCTGACCTCTCTGTGCTTCCTGTTCACTGAGGGTGAGGATGCTGGACCCATTCAAGCTGCCTTCAGGTGAGCTAGACTCAGGTGGGGCAGATTAACTAGTAGTCATGTGAGACTGGTCCTCACAAATGGGCTACGTCCCGTCTCCGCCACTGATGGGGTGACCCAGCCTACAGAGCATGAGGGGAGGGGCAACTGTACGGATAGTGTCCAATGACCTTACTTGAGGTGGTGGAAGTCGTGGAATTCCGGCGAGGGGAGGAAAGGCAGGTGGTAGCCGCAGTGCGAGATGGATGTAGCCAGAATAGCAAGGCAGAGCCACACCATGATGGAGGCAACATGGGATCCCAGGATTATCGGACCCACCAGCAAAGGCAACATGTTGGAAAACTGGAATTCAGACACAAGCCCTGTCTCATTAGCATGCACACCCAAACCTTCTGTTCAAAAGGCCGCAACTGGCGTCTCCTCTTGTTGCTTGTATTACGAGAGCCCCTAGAACCCGGTGCTGCTGATGCTGAACGTGGCACTTGGTTGAAGTGGAATAGCGGGAGTCAAGCATCTCGTGGAGGTGTGATATCAAGTTAGCTAGTGCTGCCGTGGGAGACTCATCGCAGAGTCACTGGGAGTGTTCTGCCAATGCACCTAAGAGACTGAGATAAAGGAGGTGACCGAGGCCAACTCCCACTGTAACTCAAGTTGCTTTAACATCTCAACTCCCTCTCTCAGGTTTCACTGCTTACCGCCTGGCACGTGTGTCTGGCTGGGACAGTTCATGATGAAGCAGCCCAGCATTGGTCACCTGGACCTTTCCTAGGCTATGCAGCAAGATCTTCCACCAGATCTGCCACCTCAAGGAGGCCCCATTCCATCATGCTCAAAACTGCTGGAGGCCCCGGCTCCCAAAAGGTTTGTCTGACAGTAGATTGACCCTGTCTTACCTGGCTCTACCCTACGAGTTTGCAGTCCCAGTGCAAAGGGCCACCAGACACTTCTACAGTAGCTTTTTGGAGACGCCACAAACTCCAGCTTCATCTCCCACCAGGAAGGGTCTGAAGTGTAGCTACTCTCTTCCCTATCCACAAATCCTCACCCAGTGGAAATGCAAAGCCCACAGCCATGGGTTGGGTTTACTTGATAGGCTGCTGGGCAATGACCCCCAAGAGTGCCCGCTTACCACATGCTCGACCGGATGAGCATAGAGGGAGACCACACCAACGGGGGCTGTCCATTCATGGTGCTTCTTGTGTATGCGCTTGTACAGAAGTGGGTGATGAACAAGCCTGCATGGAGAGAACCAGAATGAAGTCTTCAGGTCCAGTCAACCCTGAGACCAATGTCAGTCTGGGTGCATCCTCAATACTTTTCTAACGTATAGATTTCTAGAGCAGCCAAGTGGCCTAGTGAATTAAAGACTGGGGCTAGCCGTCAGGACTCATGAGTCAAGGCAGAACCAGAAATAGAACCCAGGGGTCCTTGGGCAATTCACCTGGCCTGTGTGTATTCCCACAATTGCTTTATTTGCTGTTAAACTGCCTCTCTCTCTCTTTCTTTATGAGGTGGGTTGTTTCTTTTTTTTTCTACTTTACTCTGCATCTGTTTTGGGGGTTTTATTGTGTAGTGGTAGCGCTCTGGAGGTCTGGAGAGTCGGTAGCTGGGCCCCATTGTGCCAGGCGCTGTACATGTGTATAGGAGGTCATGGTCCTTGACCAGGGAGTTCACAATCTTTTTGGTCTACATATACACAATACACTCTCTGTAGATTTTCTTTGCCTGGTGTCTAGCTCCTCCTATAAGCAATAGTTACAGCCTCCTCCCCCAGCTCGGGTGAAGTGCTTTAGATTATAGCTTGCATATAAAATCAACTTGTCTTTTCCCTCCCTTAGCCTGTGGGCCAGTCCATGTCCATCCTCTCACTTTCATCATCTCTGGTTAAACGTGGCCCCTGGTAGCCTTATACCACCAAGAGCTCCCAAAGGAAAGGCAGGTACCACTGACTGGCCGAGGTCTTTGGTTGAGGGCACAATCGTCATTCCGGACAGAGCGGTTCACATTTCTTAGGGAGCGTAAAGGAGGAAGAAACAGCTGCAGGACAGACGAGTTCTCTTGCCCAGCTCACCGGTGCGAATAGTAGAAGAGAATTTCCTCCACCAGGATAAAGATGGACAGCTCCAGGAGGAACCAGTGAAAGGTGGGTAGTTCCTTGCTGCAGGGCTGTCCCCGCCACTTCATGATGGGGAGCATGAGCATCATCATTGGGAGAGAGATGAAAAGCTGATTAAGCAGCACTGTGTGAACAGCCTGCCGCAGCTTCGCTGGGTCCACCTGCAAGAGAGGAGACTCCGCTAAGGCTAACCATGGAGCCATGCACCTCTGGGGAGAGGGAACTTATTTTTGGACCAAGTTTCACATTTAGGCAAATAAACAAGAAGCTGATCTGCCTACAGTTCAGCGCCCTCATTCTTCGTGTCGCTGGCCGCCTAGTGCCTGGCTCTGCTGGGGGCAAAGCACAGCACTGGAGGTGGGGGGGCAAGAGGTAGGATTGACGGAAACACACTTTCGGTACCAAGCAGCGAATCAGCCTTTGCTGTCTGAGCAGGACACTTCCCCCTGGCAGCCTGAGCAGCTCCAAGGCTGGAGTTCAAAGCGAGCGCATCTCCTGGGTGTGTGGCTTGTGGCTCAGCATGGCCACGCTGATGTAAGGCTTTGTCTTCACTGCAAAAAAGGTGGGTGTGTTAGCGAGTCGGCAATCTCTCTGTAAAGACACCTGTCGGCAGTGGCAGATACGGACTCTTGTCAGCCCCCGGGTGCACTGCTCCACCTTGCTTCAAGGAGGAGCAATAAAAAAGCCCAGTGCCCTTGTGGGTCCCCAATTGAATTGCCTCCCTCCAGCTTTCCCCGTGACTTCCTGCTCTGCTTGCTGCCCTGGGACAAACAGCTGAAGGGCTCTGGCTGAAATTTTCCTTTCTATAATCTTAATCTTTAATAAAGACCTGAGTGTCCAATTTGATGTCATTTGCCAGGGCCAGGAGTCCGAGTCGGGTGCTACAGGAATACGTCTCCACTCGCCTGCACGTTCTTTAACCTGCAGCCCCGTGGCTCTAGGAAAGGGGTAGAACCCTTCCCTGCCTCTGGTGGGGGTTTCTCTGATGACTTAGTCCCCGTGCCCTGTTGATCACTGTGGCCAGGGCGTGTGCACAGTGCGGTTATGCAGCCGTGGGACTGTGAATTGCTTTAACGTGCTGCCTAACTCCACTCCAGCAATTGAAATGCCGTTGAAAGAACTCTTTAGCCCACACAGTTATGACGAAACCTTCCAAATGTGCTATGAATAGCAGCCAGCTGCTGTCTGCCGGGACCTGGCAGTGAGCCGAGGTATGAAACGTGTCCCAGTTACCAAACTGGGGTGTTAACACTGAAGTCTGACAGCATAAGCTTATTAACTGCTGTTTGGTTTAGCAATCAACTCACGCTGATGTATGTGTTTGCCTTTTTTGCATGTAGTGAAGAATACTGGGGCATTGGTGCAACTGGTTGCTGTCAAAGGTCGGGGGGAAGGAGGAGTGAGTTAGCCATGGTCTAGGCTTAAAATTTATACCACAACTGTGTAGGTTAAGGGGGGGGGCAGGACAAAACCCCTAGTGTAGACTTAGCTTCTGGTGCCTTAGCTCATGGTTTTGGGCAAGATAGTGCAGGCTGTGTCTACTCTGGAGGTGGGGTAGGCCAACAGAGCTATGCTGCCGTGGGCTCTGTAGTGTAGACGTAGGTTTAGGCCGTCTACACTCTATGGAGACTATACCAACGTAGCAACACCAGCATAACTCCGTCGTGTAGCTGTAGGCTATGCTGATGGCAAGGGGGTGTTTCTAATGGGGTAGGAACACAGCCTTGCCAAGCGACTTTGTCCATATGGACGGAAGCATTCTTCTCTTACCCCAGCTATGTTGACAGTGGGGACTAGGTCACCCTAGTGACGTCTGCCAGGGGGTGGGTTTTTCACACCCCTGACTGCAGCTATGTTGACTTAGCTACAGTACTCAGGGATGTGAAGTTATGTGGCCCCAACCCCACTGTCCATGCAGCTAGGTTGAGGGAAGAGTGTTTCTGTCTACCTAGGTACTGCTCCTCAGGGAGGTGGGTTACCTACATCAACAGGAAAACCCCTCCCATCGCTGGAGGAAGCATATCTGTTACAGCTCATGCTTCCAAATGCCTCTTGGAGCACATGCAGGCGTGTGGCTATAGCCTGGGGTTCAAGCACTTGCAGGGGAGTTGGGAGACCCAGGATCCACTCCCGCTGTTCCAATGACTTCTGTTGTTTAGCCAGAGTGCAACAGCAGGCACCTATGTCCAAGGCAGGGGTGGGGCTTAGCCCCACATCTCTCTTGCTAGCATCTCCCATGGGCTAGCTTAGGCAGGCCCCCTTCCCCCATCCCCAGCTAGCCTTTGTGGATTGCAGTCTAAGGTGCCTCTCTTCCCCAGGAGGTTAGGTGCCTAACTCAGGCTTGGGGCATCCTAGTGATTTTTCTCCGCATGTAGCTAGTGCTTGGGGGCATTGAGGTCTAAAGGATTTGCCCAAGGGTGTCTGAACTGGGAACTGACCGCAGATGGCCTGTGTCCCAAGCCTTGCCCTAACCACAGAACAATCTGTTCCCTCTACATTTTCGTGCCCTGTAGACTTCTTGCCTTGATTTTACTTTGCCAGCCCCCAGTATGGAAGAGCGGGAGGTTGCGGGGGGGGAGAGGAGCCTGACAGCTCTCCCCCACCCCTCTTACTCTAAAAAAATGCAGGCGGTATTTGTCCAGCTCGGCAGGCACGGTGAGAAATACTTACAGGGTCGTTTTTGCCCAACTGAATTCGGTAACGGGTGATGAAAGTTGGCTTTCCGGTCACATCTGCCACCATCAGGAGTCCGTTGAAGCACCAGTAAACAAGGCTCGGAACTAAGGCTGTGCCTGTGGTAGAGGGGGAGAGAGGTGGGCAGAGACTGCTGAAGCCAGGGGAGCCTTTGTTCATCAGAAATGATTGATATTGCACTGGTGCCTGGGCCAGGGCCTGGACAGAAATGAGTCTCCGAGCATAAGGGTTTCAGAGCAAAGACACCGCTCCTGAATGGGATGAAAGGGCAGGAGTGGAGTGGGGATGAGATTACAATAATATAGACATGCTCTCAGGCACCTTGCCCCTGCCACCAAGTCATTATCACCAGGCTGTGTTCTGTAGACATTACCCCCAGGAGGAAACCTGGCTGCAATACAGGGACCACCCCTGCTAGAATATGACTAAGGTGTGTAGCCTTATCCTCTGTACTTTTGGCAAGAATGACTCTGCTAAGACGTGGGGTGTAATTTCACTTTAGCCCAACGAGGGCGGTGGGAACCTTGCATAGGCCCTGGATGGTTTGGTGGTTACAAATACTGGCAGTGGAAAGGGTGGTCCCAAAATGTTGGCTGGACCCTGACCATGGGAGAGGCATGGCAGGGATTTGGAGGCAATGCACACTTCTGGTACATGGAGCGCTGGGAGAGTTGGAATCCGGCTTTCCCCCAGCTGAGCTTTGGCATTCAAAACAACTCACCTAGAAAGAAAATTGCCCATTCGTTTCCTCCAAGCAGGTGGAGCACTTTCTCCCATTGGGCCTGCCAGAAATCGCCCGAAGCCCCCCAGAACTTCTGCAAGTGCCTGGGGAAAAGGGCCCAAGAATTACACCCAGGGTTTAGCTTTTCATTGCAAAAATCATGTCCATCTTATCTCCCCACCCACTCAGATGTTGCTTCTCAAACTATCGGTCTTACCAGGTGAGAGAGTTCCTGAAGGCAGCAAATAGCAGCAGGCTAGTACCCACTATGAAGCCAGTTGTCTTCATGGAGTCCCAGAGCTTCCCCTCCTGAGAGCAGGAAACAAGCGATTACACCTAGGTCATGGAGTAGCCTGTGTTTTAAATCACAGGCTATCAAGGGACAATCTAGTCCTAGGATCCCTTGTTTTCTGTTGCCAGCACTCTACAGAACAGAGTGGAGCTAAGTTGTTCTCCACCCTGTCAACAGATGCTAGGAGTGTGGGGATGAGGCTCTGAATATATGTTACCGTGTGTATCGGTGTGGTAAAAGAAATACACGTTTAAACTGGATCCAGATAGCAATCGGTCTGTGATTTCCTCCCTTCTCTTGTGTAACAGGTCATTATGATGAACAGATAAGCACTCAAAACAGCAACGCGTTCATTAGGCTTGCATAATTAAATAACATTAGTTGCCCTACTTGTCTCGTCTCTTAGCAATGCCACAGGACAGGCACCAACAAGAGAAGTTTAATCCCTTACAAAAGGATCAATGGGTGGTGTAAGGCAACAGCCCCGAGTCCCCCTTCCTCAGCAGCCTTCAGTGCTATGCCCTGGGCTGTCTCTCCAATGCTCCTGCTCCAGGATGCTTAGGAAATGATTATCTGGAATTGGAAAGGATTTAGGTCATTTGCCCTGAAGACGCGCTAGTGAAGTGGTGTTGGCCCTTTTCCATCCAAGGGGCTAGTCAAAGTGTGAGGCCTTGTAGGTGGTTGCGGCTGGGAGTAGAATTTGATGATTGCACCTGGTATTTTCTTTGACACAATCTTGTTTCTTCTCCAGGAATCTACAGCGTCCTGCTGCTGCGAACGGAGGAGGAACCAAGAACAACAGGAGCAGTTTCTTTGCCTCCAGGCCTAAGCTTCTCTACACCCCTGAGCCTTTCTCTAGGCTTCGTGCAGGGCTACACTATGCTTGGCTTTCTTGCAGTCTGCCTTGCTCTGAGTGTCTAGTGCTTCTCTGCACCCTATTTTTTCCCCACCTACCCACCCACCGGAACCCTCCATTCGCAGGGTGCTAATTTCTGGGCAGACTCCATTATGCCGTGGTTTAGGTGTGGCCCTTAACTCTCCCTATGCTGTATCTTAAAATGAAGGGAGCAGTCACACCCATCAATTTCAATGAGGTTTTAACTAACCCCTACCAAGGTTTAACTCGTCTGATAACGATCTCAAACTATACCAATCAGCCTGCTCTGGGGGGCTTGGGAGAAGACCCTTTAAAGAAGTCCTGCTGTGAGTTTTCCAAATTTCAGAAGCCTAAGATCTTGTATCCGCAATCAATGCACTTGGCTCTCAACACTAACGCTCCATTGTCCTTAACTGTAGCAAAGTAGAGGTTGGCGGAATAGGCACTGTTGGATCTGGATCAGGTTTACTTGAGGTTATGGGTTTGAGGCAACGGGATCAGATTTTGATCTCTCAGCATGTTTGTTTAGTAACTCCATTGATTCCAGTGACGCATCACCCTGCATACATGTGTGTGAGGGCAGTTGGTGCGGGCTACAGTCTGCAGCATCACCCCATCCTAGTTCACACACTACACCTGCTTTACAAGATGGTTATGATACTCAGTGCACATTTAGAGCATCAGCTACCATATAACATTTCAGTTGAGACATCAGTTTTGAGTCTTTACCTGCTTCTGCCGTGAGCCCCCAGTGGAATATGCAGCGTCTCCCTTCATCTACAATAATAAATGATGCGAGTGAGTGAATGGGGAGCTGTAAAGAAAAGGGAAGGGGAGGAAAAGAGGGTAGGAAAGCAGCCCTAAAGGAAGTTTTCACATGTTATGATACAGCTCTCGCCCGGGGGCCTGACTGGTCTGGAATGTGCTGTGTTCAGGGGCTGGCCCAGGCCTTCGGGACAAAAAAATCTGGTACAGCAGAGTAAATCACTGGGGTGAAGGATTACAATTATAGATCACCCTGTGCCCTTAAATTACAGCCCCTAGGGGCCTGTGCACCGAACACTGGGAACATGATAAGGGAGCTTTTCACCTTTAGGTCACTGCTTCAGATCCAGCCCAGGGGGAATGACTGAAAATCGTTACCATCGGCTGGCTCTTCAAATACCAGCAGGGCAGGTGTCAGCATCATAACCAGCCTGGCCCCATGGCTCTAACCAGCCCAGTGCTGACAGGCTCAGCAGAGAGGCCAAGGATTGAATAAAGAAAGAAAGTCTGAACTACCTTGTGCTCCTAGAGGTCAGGTTCTGGCGTGAGGAACCTTGTACTTCTGGTGCATGTGCAGTGTCTACTGCAGGGCTAACCTAGGGAGTTTTCATTTCCTGGATGGCCAACCTTTCTCAGCAATAAATTTGCTTACACAAAATATTCCTTACAATTGATCTCACCTCAGCTTCACCGAGTCTTCATCAATGTTCAAATAAAAGACAATCTAACACTCAA